GTACATGTTATGATTATAATCCCACACCATTTTTATTATAATAAAATGGTGTGGGATTATAATCATAACATGTACTATCGGAATGATCTGGTATTGTAGAATGATTTTTTTATATGCTGCACACCGGGTGAAAAATCATTAGTGTAACATCGACGGTTCCTCCTGTTAATCAAATGTCGAAATATTTCTACAAGCTCAAAACAATTTCGACTAACAACATTAGTGTGGGGAGCATTATATACGTAAGGCGATGCTGCCACTAGGTGTTAAGTTGTGTATCTGAAACTAACTGAAGACATTATGGTATAAAGTACGAACGACTTTGCAAGATCAAGGAAAGTTATGATCCGTCAGGCGTGTTCACTCCGAACAGATTTTGCATCGGCCTAGAGGGAGATGTGTCTGCGGATTTCATTGATTCAGAGACTTCCGAGGAAGAAGTCGTCTCTGTGAAACGCCAGAAGGAGCTCCAACTGAATGCAGAAAAAAATCTTTGGGAAATGTTGTTGATGAAGAAGGATGCCAGCAAGCCTGTTCTTTTGTGGGATACCTGGCGCGCTTAAAAAAAGAAATGAAAAAAAAACTAAATATGAACATAGTAATACTCCAACGAAATATCGTCCATAATAAATTTCAAGATAGCAAATTTTAGCACAATAATTTTAGAAAAACTTCATTTTACAACTTTACACGTTTTGTGAATTAGTAATAGTGCTTTTGAATTTACAATAAATGAAATTTAAAGAACGTAGTTCATTTGTCGTGTATATAGTTTATTTTGTACTAGATCATGGAGTTTATTAGCATTTTTGTGTTACCTTTATCTCATTATTTCTGGAGAAATCAAACTTTGCTCATAATTTGGAACAAAGAAATAATATATATGAAAATGTTGACTGGCTAAGTAATAATGAAAGTAAAAAACAATAGAGTAGCAGGTTGTTTCAAGGAAGAAATAAAGCATAAATTCCTGCTGAGCCTTAACTTATGCAATGACAGTTTCTCCCTTACTACTACGCATTATTATTTAAACTATTACTAATTTCTTTACTATCTGCCCATCCCATAATTGACATTATTATTGATTATTAATAAAATTTTTTGTATTCTAAAAATTAGTTAGCATTATATAGATTAATTTTAGTAATTTCTTTAGTAAGTTTTTTATTAAGTTCAATCTTAATTTTACTGAATTTAGTATTACCTTTTTTATTAAGTTTATTATTAAGTTTAATATTAATTTTAAGTTATGTAATAAAGATAGAATTAATTTTAAAGAACTTTTAAAAAGTTCATTAATGAGTTTAATATTAATTTTTGTACTAAGTTTTTTTTAATAACAATTTTTTAATTTTATAATAATATTTTTATTATAGTTCTAATTTTTAATTTTTAAATTAATATTATAAATATAGAAAGTTCATTAGTAATTTTATTATTATATAGAAAATAATTAAAAAATTAGTTTTTAAGTTTATAAATCAAGAAATAGTTACTAAAAAAATAAAAGATATTTAGTTTTTAAAATATGTTGTAAGATATTATTTTACAAAATAAGTACAAACATAATTTTAAAATAAAACAAATATTAAGTAAGAGTCTTTGTCTGTATAATTTCTTACCAAACAGTAAAAAATTGAGATTAAAAATAAAAACTATCCAAGAGCATTATTGTTGCTACTACTAGTATTACAAATAAATTTGATATTATATAATATTTTTATTATTAATTTTTATAAAAGTATTTGCTTGTTAAAATAAATTTATTCTTTATATATAAAAAATCTTATAGTAAAAAATAATAATAGAAAGATGTCAATCATCTAACTCTTTGTAGATTTCTAAGCCAACTTTTTTTCAACAAACAATTTAACTTTTCTCAATATTTTACTAAATTAACAGTTTTTAACCTTCTAATTAAATTTTTTCTTCACAATTTTTTGTTCTAAAAACAATATATTTATTTATATTTAATTTTTTGATACAATAAACTTTTATATTTTAATAAAATTATCTTTATTAATATTTTTTTAATCTTTTTTAACTTATATATAATTATACTTATTATATTCCTAAATAAACTAATTACATTATACTTCTGTTTTAAACTATCTAAATTTTATCAAATTTCTTTTAGGTTACTTTCTCACAAACTGAACTCTCTCAAATATTATTTATAGCTGAATCCTTTTATGCTATGATTAATATTCAAGTCAATTTTTTAAAATCTATTCTGGTTACTAAAAACTCTTTTTCTTATTACACCTCCATCTTTTTATAATAATATTCATCTATTTATTATCAATGTTACCAAATCAGTTCTTTTCTTCACTAAATAATCTGTTTATCTAATTAATTACTATATAGTCTTATAGATATTTTATTACAATATATTTTTAATATTAAAACACTTAACACTACATCAAATACTATAACTAATTTACATAATCAACTTAAGTTGTTGAATAGTATAACTATTCACAGTATATTAGATGTACCCTCAATCTTCTTAACTCTAACAGGTCTAATACCAAATAAACTTATTGATACTATTGCAAGTTTGTCATTTAAAAAAGTAATTACAACACTCATTATAAAGTTTATGTTTTATTTTAATTAATAAATCTATTATAAAATCTAGATTTCTTATTATATTTCAAGACCTATAACTCAACTTCCTGAATATAATTCATTATTAAATGCTGTCTTACTTTTATTAAATTCTCTTTTATTTAACTCTATTAGTTCAAAAATAAACTCTTGATATGTCTAATAGATCAAATATCAAACTAATCTTTTATATATAATTATTAACACCAAAATATAAATAAATCTTGATTACTTCTATTGATTTAGATTGCAAATAAATTAGTTTGAGCTTTTATTTTTTCTATAATATTTTAAAAGCAGAATTGCACTCTATATAAAATTTTAATTAAATACTCAATAAAGATAGAGATGTGACCTTACTATTAATATTAAAAAAAATATTTATATATTAAATTATTACAAACTTTAGCTTTATTTTTTCATATTTTGTACTTATTTAGCAAACTCTTATAATTATAAATTGCCATCCATCTTGTTATTTTTTTACATATTATGATGTAATCATGTTTATTCAAATTAAAACTCAACCAATAACTCTTTATCAATCATGATTATAAATTGCCAAATAATATACATATTGAACAAATTGTCAAATATAATAATTTGTCTTAACAAAGCAAATGATTGGTTTATATGCTGCTTTACAGCATATGTTAATTTTATTGTTTAACAAAAAAATTATTTTTAAAAATTTTGTAAATTTATAAATAAAACTTGTAATTTATTTCATGAATTATAAACCTAGTAGAACAACATATATATTATTTAATATGCAGCATTACATTTTTGGTTAAAAAAAACAATTCCATGAATTGAAAAAAACAACTTTAATACTGTATAAAGATTAATTTTGGTAAGAATGATAGCAGAAACTAATAAATCAGTAGAATTTTAAGTGTTAAATGAATGAAAATCTTCTACTTTTAATACTATATTTAATATCACAAATATATTTTAGAACCGGAGCGAGTCAATTTTAGAATCATAATAACCTGTATAATAATAAAATAGGTAAATACATAAAATATTAAGTTTATTATCAATACGCTGATAAGTACCTAAAGAATAATAAGAGTCTTGAGAACTTTGGAGTTCAGTGACATAATCAGAATCTGGGCAATCTTGTGTAATAGTTGGTAATGTTTCAATAATCTTCTCCATTTGTAAAAGGTTTGAGCAAAGATCTTTTGCAGTGGGACGTATTTTCGGATCTTTATCCATACACCTTTCAGCTAATTGAACATAACATTTGGGAGTTCCTGTGGCAAAATTTGGTCGTAATCCGTTGCAAATATCAATAGCCAAATTATCACTTTCGTATCTATCAAAAGGCCTCCTTCCTGTTGACATTTCGGTCATAATTATACCAAAGCTATAAATATCTGAAGCTTCTGTATATTGTTTGTCTGATAAAACCTCCGGAGCTAAGTAAGGTACAACTCCACGCACTTCTGAAATATGTTCACTCATTGTTCTGGATAAACCTAGATCTGTAATAAAAGATACAACCTCTTTTTCCTCTGTATATTGATGCTGCAAAATATTACCAGTATGAAAGTCACCATGAATATATCCTGCTTCATGGATTTGAGCTAAATCATATGATATATATGCAAGTTGTCGTATTTTATTTTTCCATGTAAGTTCTTTAAAATTTGACTGCAAATATTGACTAAGATCTCCTTTGTTTGCGTATTGAAATACCATTAAATACTCATTTTCTGCATTTTGAGTTAATCCGTACAACTTAAGTCCAATACCTTTTATGCGACATTTCATGTGGTTTTTAAACTTATGACATTGACATAAATATATTAATTAAATAGTTTGTGTGCAATATATAATAATAGTTTAAAACTTACTTCTTTTAATAAATCTTGAGAACCTGCTTTACAACTTTTGAGTGCAACAGTGCACGGTTGACCACGCGTCCCAAAATATTTCCCATGATAACCAACAATTTTCCGTACACCATCAAGCCAAGTTGCTGAATATACAGAACCAAATCCACCTTCCCCAATCTCTTTTAAATCAGTCAGCCTATTAAACGGAATCCATTCAATTAATTCTTCATACTTTGTTGTTTGAAGCTGAAAATGTTTAATCCAATAATCAAATTTATCGTCTCCACTTGTCCATCCACAGGATGCTATATTAGGATCACACATTTGGCACCATAATGGGGAGTTATTGTATTCATTACAATTCAAACATTTTCCATAATCACAAACGCTTTCAAAATTATAAAGTTATTTTCATGTCCTTATGATTTGTTTAATAAAGATTATAAGGCAAGAGGGTATTACGGCGTGATTATTAAATCTCATATTGCTTCATATAATAATTCACTACAATATCCACCCGCCGTGATACCTATTTCGCCTTATATTAATATATAATACTCACTGCCTAGTTTTACAAGCATTTAAGTTGTTAAACTTATAAACGAATATGCATATACTCGGACTTTATACTCACTCTCTAGTTATCAAGAAAGTAAATATTTAATAATATGTTCTTGTGAATATTGGCTTTAAAAATAAATAGAACAAAATTGTATTTACTTCCTGTCAAGTTAACATATAATTCGTTAGAAAAGTGATATCGATTTGATCTGTTAATCCTAATTAAACCTTACCTACTGTTGATTTAATGTATGTAATTAATTAGCAAACAATCTGAATTTTTATGAAATATAATTTGGTGATAGCAAAACTTTATCTTACGCTCTGAAAATTTAAAAAGTATGAATCCAGAGATGTAATCTTTTGTAACAAATATAATAACAGATTATAAATATTTTATTCTCACCGCCTAATTAGTAAATAATAAAACAATATTTAATTGGAAGCATTTAATTATTAACGATAAATAAAACCTTAAACTTACGCCCTTTGAATTATGCATATATAGTTAATGTATGAACAATATGGAAACTTATGAGTTGTATGGATTAACATTGAGATACTTACTCGCTGATAATATTATGTGTAATTAGTTGAAGAAATTAACATATCAATAAGAATGCTTTACATAATAAAGAACTCTATGCTTACTCCCTTTTTTTTATTAACATGCATTTAAATGGAGAAAGAAAGAAATAATGAAATAAATTTCGTAAATAGATTAAATATACCAAAAATTTACACTTACATTCTTTATTACAAGAATTTATCAGAAAATAATATTAATGGTAAATTTTATAAATGTCAATTTCATGAAAGAGTAAAATGCTTACGTTCTAACAATTTAATTATATAATTGGTTAAAATATTATTGCTTAATATAATATTAAATAATAATGAGTTGATGGTGAATAT